GCTATAAACGTAAGTTGTCCAAATTTTGTTTCAACAGAAACTCCCAAAGTTTCAAAAACTTTGGTTTCAAATGAAGAAAGAATTTTATGCTTGATTCGTCTATGAATAATGATGGCAACGCCACCACAGGGTCCATCAAGACGATCATTTCTATAAATCAAGTAATTTGCGTCCTTCTTAACCTTATGGTCAGGTTTAAGGAACGTTTCAGTTATAACGGCAATATGCACGTTATGAACTCTCAAAAAATTAAATAGCTCGTCTTCATTATCTTTAAGAGATCGAGCATTCCAATTTAAAATGTTTAATGCTTTAAAATCCATTACTGAATTTTAAAGTCATGACAATATTATTAGCAAATTTTACTCCAGTTTGAATAGCATCAAACATGGAGTTAGATTTAAGCATATCAGAAATCATGTCAATTAATGAATTCTGTAAAAATTCCATTTTAGGGGCAGTAATGCTTCCTAAGTCAAAATTGTCAAAATTTCCGTTAGAACGTTGGTTAGTATTTTGATTTCTACCCACTGCAATAGCAGCATAGGTAGCTCCATTAACTCGCTGAACATTGTTAGCAGCGAGGGGAGTAGGTACAGATGAAACATTTGAAGCAGGGGTGATATTTGTACCTACGGGTACGAATGTAGAATTTGTTCCTCGCTGACCGTTGTTAACAGCAGAGGAATTTGTACCTGGTCGGAAACGTGGAGCGTTTCTTACCTGTCGGTTAGAACGAGATTGTAGGATCGCTTTGCGAGTCTTACATTCCCAAAAATTGGATTTGTGGTTTTCACCACAATTTGAACATTTAAATTTCTTAGGATCTTCCTTCACAGGACAGTCGTCCTTTGCGTGAGAGGAATCACCACAATTCATGCATTTAGCTGGCATGTAGCAATTTTTAGTTCCGTGACCCCATCCCTGGCACTTACGGCACTGAGTGAGGTTTTGGAAATTTCCTCCAGTCTTCCTGAAGTGTTCCCACTTCACTCGGACATGGAGCATAAGGCTAGCTTTTTCTAAGGCCTTAAGGTTGTTTAGTTCACTAGACTTGAAGTGAACTAAATAAAAATCATTAGAAATCCCGTTGCGCGAATCGCCAGGACGGGATTTCATTTTCATTTTGATTACTTGGAGTGGCACAACTCCAAGTAATTTTGCCAGTTCATCTTTGATCTGATCCAGGGATTCACCACTGGGCAGTCCTTTCATGACAACCTTGAACACACGTTCAGTTTTGGTGTCGTAAGTAAAAAATTTGTGCTTCTTCTCAGTAAGATACTTGAGAAGACATTTAAATCCGTCCAAGGTTTCAGCCAATACATGGCATTCACCCCGACGTCCAATTTGTAGTGAAAACTTAACTTTCACGAAATTCAAAAGTTCCATGCGAAGAGCATGGAAATCGGTAGTGGTTATCACAATAGGGGGAATCTTTTCCTTCTTGGCATTAAGCCGGGAAAGTTTACTAGAATTTTTCTTGGATGATGGATCATTCTCATCATCCGTGAGCAAATCAAATTGATTACTCAAATTAATTTCTTCAGAAGGGGGGTCAAGAGTTTGCCCCTTTCTTTTGCGTTTAGGCGCCATGGCGGCAGTAAATTTTTTATCCAAATCGACTTCCAAGCAGATTACTATAAGAATCTGAAGGATCGAAGAGGAATTTTCCAAATCGATATCCAAGAAGGATTACCTCGGGTAGGGTCCAAACAAGGATCGAAGAGGAATAAGAGGAGTTGAACAAAGTAGAAAATTTTTACAGGTTGAGCACTGAAAAGTGCGATTATGCGATTATCCAAATCGACTTCCAAGCAGATTACTATAAGAATCTGAAGGATCGAAGAAGAATTTTCCAAATCGATATCCAAGAAGGATTACCTCGGGTAGGGTCCAAACAAGGATCGAAGAGGAATAAGAGGAGTTGAACAAGGTAGAAATAGATCCGCACGGCAAGAGAGCACGATGCGGACTGAATAATCATTGAATGTAGTCTACACTGGTTTGACGAAATAAATGAATGAATAGAAGATTCGAAACGGTACACCCTTTAAGTAACATTGACAGATTCTCTTCGTCGACTTTCTCTTTGCATCCTCACGGCCATGTAAAGACATTCCCAGGTGTTTTCAGCACACAGATCGCTAAAAGAAGCTTTTATCTAGCATGACAAACACATAAAACACGGTTATATCAACAATCAATACGAAACTAACGATTTGAAATTGGCTCCCTACTTGACTAGCCTATTGGTCCCAAGCAAACGATTAGCGTACCCCATTCTAGTCGAAATTCTAGTACTACGCAATGTTTGTTTTGATTCGCTATGAAAGTTTGACAGATAAAATGAGGGGTTATTGGTTTTTCTTATGTTTCGAGGGGTGAATCGATTAGCTTGGGACCGAAGAGAGTACCAGAGCTGAGCCAAAAAGTTGAGCACGTTATTTCGGGACCTTCTAGTCTTAGAGTTACCTCTATGGTTATATGCTCAAGTTATTAACGAAAGAGAAAGTCGACGAAGAGAATCGATCAATGTTACTTAGGACCTAATGCAATGTTCAGCTTGATTTGCCACTACAAGTTTTGTTGCTGCAATGGCTGGCCGAGTGTCCCAGCCTTTTGCAGTCGGTACAATTATATACCCTCTGTACAAACAAGCGCATCGGAAAAAGCCTGGGGTGGGACGTGCTGTCAAATCAGCCTACTGATCATGCCTGTACATGACGATTGAGAACGACCCAAATTTGAGTTTAGTTAACTCATAATCGCCAAAAGTGCAGGAACGCAGCGATGAGTTAAATTTGTCTCATGGTTTCCTGTGGAAAACCTAAAAAATCTGCCGGAAAATGAGGAAATTGACGAAAATTTTATTCAGTCGCGGAGTAATACCAATAGACTGAGTGAATCCAATCTTTACTTTTCTCAAATCCGGGATTTTTTCCCTGGAAAAACCTGGGAAAACATGAGGCAAATTAACTCATCGCTGAGTTCCTGCATTTTTGGCGATTATGAGTGATCTAAACTCAAATTTGAGTCGTTCTCATTCGCCGTGTATGATATTGGTTCCAAATGTAAACAAACCCTGTAGGTTTCTTATGGCTTGTTTACGTTTGGAACCAGTTATGCGAGGTAGGCGACGATTGTTCGTATTTGATAGCCACCCCTTGGAAAAAGCATCAGTTTGATAACCCCTTGGAAAAAGCATCATCAACTTTGACAAAGTTTGGGAAAACTGAACCAACAAATTCCTCGACAGTCAGATTCGCGTCGGAGACCACACATTCTATCTCTACATCTCGAGAAGGGATGTAGATGTTATACCTAACAGTAAAAAGTGCGTGCCACATCATAATTCAGTGCTTCTACACGCAGTTTGAGAACACGTTCCACTAGGCTGCTTTTACTATTCAATAGCAAGGAAATCGAAAAAAAAACTATCATATTATACTTAAGCCGGTTTAGTCAATAACCGCATCAGGTAGATAGTCGTTTGCTGCTACTTGTGTGTGCAGACAATGGTGAAGTAGATAGTAATGACGATGATGGTGATGATGAACATTCAGCCAGTAGAGTTGGACACTTCAAAATAAAAGGGTTCACCGAATTTCGGTGCTTTTGAGACACGCACGCTAGTCACATGTGCACTGTGATGTGAAAAAAACCACGTGGGTGGAAAAAATTACAAGTAAAACTGAATATCTTGTGACGAGACCGGAACCTTGTTAACCGGCTCTGCGATCGATACGGAATGAAAGTGAACTACTTTGTTCAGTCACTAATAAACCCAAATAAGTCCATTGACTTTTACCATAGAGGTAACTCTAAGACTAGTAGCAACAATCAATACAAAACTAACGGTTTTAAATTGGCTCACTACTTGACTTGCCTATTGGTCCCAAGCAAACGATTAACGTGCCCCATTCTAGTCGAATTTCTAGTATTACACAATGTTTGTTTTGATTCGCTATGAAAGTTTGACAGATAAAATTAGGGGTTAGTGGAATTTCCTATGTTTCGAGGGGTGGATCGATTTTCTTGGGACCGAAGAGAGTACCAGAGCTGAGCCAAAAAGTTGAGCACGTTTCTTCGGAACCTTCTAGTCTTAGAGTTACCTCTATGCTAGTAGGTCCCGAAGAAACGTGCTCAATTTTTTGGCTCAGCTCTAGTACTATTTTCGGTCCCATGCTAATCGATGCACCTCTCGAAACATAGGAAAATCTACGAACCCCTCATTTTATCTGTCAAACTTTCATGGCGAATCAAAACAAACATAGTGTAGTACTAGAATTTCAACTAGAATTTCGACTGGAATGGGATACGTTAATCGATTTGCTTGGGACCAATAGGCTAGTCAAGTAGTGAGCCAATTTAAAATCGTTAGTTTCCACCGGTTGCTTTTACTGACTTTTTCGTCAAAATACTGCAAAAAGATACTGAAAAACTCAATTAAAAAAGTAAAGAATCAAATAAATTACTAAAAAAGGCAGAAATATTTACTGACCGGTACCGGTACGTTTTGACAGATCAAGGATTATGCGATTTACGGAGTTTCCAGTTAAAGCAAAAAATGCTAAAAACTCTAAAAAATTGCCAACTTTGATATTCCAAACTCTGTGTGTATAAACAATTACCGATCGAATGAAAGCTGTTGCATCACAATCTGTTGAGAGCTCGTAAAATGAAAACAATTTCAAACTGTTAGGTGAGAAAAGGATAGCCTCTGTTAGAATCTTTCCCTAGACACTTCTTTCAGAAGTATTTCCTTTTTTCACTGGAGCGTCGCTGTGCTCTTGTAGCTAAAAACAATGCGAGAAGGATAATAATACACAGAGCTATATAACAATATGAGGAAAGATTAACTCGACATGTGGAAGGTAGATTAATACATTTTCCGAACTGGCCTTATTTTTTTTTTATTTATTTACCTATCCTTTAAAACAAATCAAAAATACAATCTATAAAAAACACGCTCCTCAATGTAAGCATTTTATTTTCAGGTCCACCCGTAATCGAGCCTTTTTCGTTTCCTAAACATGTCAAGGTAGGCGGTAGAGCTCAGTTAACGTGTTCGGTATCGTCCGGCGACATTCCGATTTACTTTAGCTGGAAAAAAGATGACATGATGATTCAACCCGGTTTACAAGTTACAGAGAAAAAAGAAGAATTTTTTACATTACTGATTCTGAAAGAAATTTCGGCCAAACATAGTGGAAAATACACGTGTTTTGCTCTCAACGCTGCGGCACAAGTGAATTACACTGCCGAACTTCTTGTTCAAGTTCCTCCTACATGGAAACGGGAACCAAACGACTTATCTGTGATCTTGGGAAACACTATTTTAGTTCCATGTGATGCTGAAGGATTTCCCCAACCTCGTATAACATGGTTAAGGGATCAAGGGAAGATGTCTAAGCAATTCCATTCGATACCATCGAAAAACAACACTCTCAGTGTTAACTACGCAACGCCATCCGATGCTGGTATTTCACATTATATTAAGTTAAGGCAAAATCAATTTATTTCAGTGATAATTTGCAGGATATTACATGTGCGAGGCTTCAAATGGAGTCGGAACTGACCTTTCCAAAATCATTCACATTGATGTAAACGTAGCCGCTCATTTCGATATACCGGTGAAAAACATGACTTCACGACGTGGAGACACAATTACTCTAGAATGTTTAGCCTTAGGTGATGACCCTATTGATATCGTTTGGTCGCATATGGACTCTCGGATAGACTTCAATACTTATAGGTATATTAATTTCTAGTGATATTTGAAGTGATAATGCTTATGAAACATTTCATTTTAGGTATAGTATTGTTCAAATGAAAGTAGACAACGGTGTTCGCTCTCAATTATCTATAAGTCATACGGAAAGGTTTGATTCTGGAAAATATATATGTTCTGCGGATAATTCGTATGGAACTAGTGAACATGTGATACATCTTGCTGTGCAGGAAAGGCCTGACGCGCCATCTGATTTAGAAGTATTAGAAGTCGGAAGTAGAAGAATAAAACTATCTTGGAAACGGCCCTATGACGGAATGTGTCCAGTACTCAGCTATCTGGTCCAATACCAGCCGTTACGTATAGTTAAAGATTATGTTGGATCCAAATTAGAAACATCGTGGGAAAATCCATCCGTCGTTAATTTGACCCTATCTAAAATAAACGATGTGCAAAAGTAAGTAACTAACATTTCTACCGCAATTTAAAACTAACCAATGTAACTTCTCGTAACTAGTTTACTTTTTCTTCGTTTTACTGTATTCTACCTGTTATTATTATTGTTAATAGGGATTAGATCTAATTTCCGTCTTCTAAGCACATCCTGTCTTTTCTAACGGTTTTGAACATAAAAATTAAATATTTCTACTAAAGATGACTTCTAAATTATCTATCATATGGAACAGCGTAGGATTTGATAAAACGTCACAATGGCCTACAGGTTTTAATTTCGTACAAACACATTGAAACGCCATTGAATTTATTTCGTCTTGCGAATGAAGGCAAAAATGGAATGTTAAAATGGATTCGAAAGACCTTCAAAACTTGGCTTCTCGTTGCCATCTTGAAAATCATCAAGATCAATGACTCCGATTTCAAAATTTTTATGTGGGGGAATGTGTTCAATATGTCTAATTTATTAAACTGAATGACAAAACGGAAGTGACATTAAAGGAATCTTCATAGTGCATCGGAGAACTTCGTATCAGTTCAGGGAAAGTTTTAGATTTTCTTGAATATTCATAGATCTTCATGAACTTTAATAAAACTTCAGGGAATTTCATATAAGTTCAGGGAGATGCGTAGAAGTTTAGGAAACTTTCAAGAAGTGATGGACATTATTTAGGAGTTCTGCTAACTTTGTAGAAGCTTAGCAAACTTCAATTAACTTCGCAGTGGTTCTGTGAACTTTGTAGAAGTTCATCGTATTTTAAAGAAGCTTTGAACATTTTATAGAAGTTGAGTGACCTTTGGAGAGCTCCATCCAACTTTGAAGAAATTTAGCGAACTAACGAGAAATTAAGCGAATTTTGCATACATTTGAAGAACTTCCATGAAGTTCAAGGATTATTATTATTTTCTATAGTTACTTTTACGCTCTTGGGTTATTCGTGACTTGTCCGGGAGTGAGATTTGAACTCAGGACGCCGGGGTCGCTCCCTTCAAGGATTATTGTTTAACCTCATTCAGACATTTATAAAACATGTCTGAGGCGAACCAGCCAATGGCTGAAAGCCTTATAAATAAAGGAAAAAAATTCATGAAACTTTGTAGAGAGGTTCGTAGAAATTCATGAAACTTTAAAAAAAACGGGAAAACTCATGGATGTGGGAACGTTGTAGAAGTTTAGGTAAGTTTTTAGATGTTTGAGTAACTTTGTAGTAGTTACGGACTTGTAATTTATGAGAAAAATTTGTGAAACTTCACAGAAAATCAATCGAAAACGTAGAACCGCAGCGAATTCGGGAGAAGTGCTGCGAACTTTGCAGAAGTGCAGCGAATTCCGTAGCTATTCGAGGCACTTCGTCAAACTTCATAGAAATGCTGGGAATTTTTTAAAAGTTCAGAGACCGTCGTAAAACTTTGGCAAACTTAGTAGAAGCTCAGCCAGCTTCGTAAAAGTTCAGGGAATTTAGTTGCAGCTCAAAAAATTTCATAAAAGATCTGCAATCTTCTTAGAATTTCAGAGATCATTGTAACAGTTTGTCAAAGATTGTTAAATTTAAATTTTGTTTATTTAATAAGGTTTAGTGTCTCTAGTCAGTCTAGTCGATAAATTAATGTATGTAAGGTAGTCGGCAAAGTAGATCCTTCCGTAAAACTTTGAGATAAGGATTGTCTCGGAAGGCTGGGATGATTCGGGCTGGTTTGTCACAATGCGTTTCTCCGGGTGCACGCCTACGCGCGGGGCTCTCGCGGGCTCCCGTCTGTGAGTGTGTGTCCCGCGGGTCAATTCAGAACTAACATGGCTGAGGAACTCGTTTTGTGTTTTAAATTTAATCTCTGATACAAACTCCACTATATAAATATCAGAATAATACTTAAACCCGAAGTCTATTACGACCTTCTTCAATTGATGCATTAGTCATCGGTGTCAGTCCACTTCCTGTAAAAAAATCCAATGCTATATATAGACTGTTCCATCTGTTATAACATTTTGTCGAATACGGTGCACAGAAAAAAAAGTTGTTGAATATTACATCCAAACAGGTGCATGCACAGAGATCATTCCGCTGGTGGTGTAATATTAAGTTGTACGATGTACATCGATTTTGCGAACAAAATTACATCTATTGATGTAATATTGTATCTGCTTTTTGTTATTACATCATTATTTCATACATCAGCTTGAATTACGTTGATCGATATTATATTTTTTTTTTGCTGTGTGCTTACTTCCTGTTGAAACATGTCTTCAGTCAATAGGGGAGCTAGATCATTTTTATTTTTCGCTGTCTTTGAGTTGTTGTCGACGCCGACACTCAATCGATTTATCATTTACGTAGGGGGAAATGGTGTAAAACACGCAGTGGGTTAATATGACCAACAGAATTTTTCATGGGCTCTTCAAACAAAGTTTGATAGGTTCTCATCCAGAACTACTGATCTATAATTTAGCGAATTTTTCAGATGCATTGCTGCTTCAAAAGTATTTGAAAAAAGGTCGATGGTCATTAGGCTGTCCCATTTTCAGCAATATTCTCAAATTCTCTCCATCCATAATTTGTTTTCTGTATGCCTCAGTAGTCTTTGTGCATAAAATAATCAGCTCATTTGCTTAACACAGGATCTGGCCCAAACCACTTTTGTGAAGGAATGGCTTTTTGGCTATTTTTTCACTTTCATCGGTATTTTTGGTATTGTTTTATTAGGGTAGATTGTTAGAATGCACGAACAAAATTATAAAAAGAAAAGTTTTCCGTCTTGCGCCAAAATTTACATGCAAGATCCCGCATATTCGGTGCCAAAACTATACAAAATCAATTTGTACAACTAAACTACCTTGCTGGGGCTCAGGGGACAATGAAATTGAACTTTCGTCCGAATGGTTGCACAACTTGTAATTTTGATGATATTTAAGCGATAAACGATTCACTTGCTGCGAAATTGTTCGAAGATTAGCTTGCATGAAAGTTGCGCCACTAATTTTAGTCATAGTACGCCTGATGAAATTTTACTCCGCTGACTGAATGTTAAGTCTCGCATGACTTAAAAAGAGTTAAACTGACTATAATAAAACAAAAACAAACATATTTCATCATTCACAGCACTGATAGTTCTGCCCGAGACCAAGCTTATGTTATCGGACTTCATCCAGCAACTCAGTACATGATAAGGATGTTAGCCATTAACGAGATTGAAAGCTCATCCTTTACCAATCCCATAGTGGTAAAAACTCAAGAAGAAGCACCCGCTGAACCACCAAGCAACCTGAAAATAAAACCTGGTGGTAGAAGTGAATTGATTGTAACGTGGAATATTCCTAATAAAAACTCATGGAATGGAGAACTTCTTGGATATACAATAAGTTGCGTTGAAGAGAAACAAAATATTAACTACATAGGTGACAACAACACAACAAACTTAACGTTCTCTGCAAATGGCTGGGCCACTACAAAAATGTCAATTTCAAATTTAAAGAAGTTTACCAGATATGCAGTTAAGATACGAACATTCAATACTATGTCTGCAAGTCCATGGAGCCCAATTACGTATGGTACTACTTTAGAGGACATTCCAGAAGCTCCCCCTCAAAATGTTACATGTAAAAGTTTATCATCTCAAAGTATCAAAATTGTATGGCATGAGCCACAGCTTCAATTCCATAACGGAGTATTACAAGGATACAAGGTGTTATTCCGACCATTGGCTAGAAATAGTAGGTATGAAATATTTGCAAACTGCTCAAATTTCATGTCGGAATTCTCAATTTCAGATGAGTTTTTGCTTCCATATGAAATTAAAAGGACATCAAACTTGGAAACGTATCTGCACGCTCTTATGAAAGCAACGAATTATTCAATTCAAGTTCTCAGCTTTACACTATCAGGCGATGGACTCTCAAGTGCTCCAGTTTACTGCACCACCGAGGAAGATGGTAACAGATTGCTTAATATTGTCGTTATTGCTGTAATTCATGCATATATTTGTACATTTTTAGTTCCAGATCATCCTGGTGGAATCAAAGCCTTGACCTTAACTGCAGATTCTATCTTAGTGTCCTGGTTAAAACCACAACATGCAAACGGTGTTATTTCACATTATACAATATTCAGTAAAGAGAACGGAAAAATAGGACTACCAAAAAGTAAGTAATATGTACAACACTTTTTATAAGATTTGAGATAATAATAGGGAAGATGTACCCTATATAAAATATCTGGTTTCCCATCACAACTGTAGGAAAACCACTATTACTGGAACACGTACTCTATTTAATTTTGTTGTTGTCCGTTGAGTTAAAGTGCAGTTCATACTTGTGCCTTAACACATCACGTAAATATGTTAGGTTTCACAGGGTTTCACCCTTTTTATGAACTTTAAGATGTTTGTAGGATCGCAGTCGTATATTTACAAACCAAAGGATGTGGCATTGCAACAGTTGAAATGTTGTTTGTAGGAAAATAGTTCGAGATCATTTAAAAACGCTATCTCGTCTCCACTTCCCTACGCATAGAGCATCAGCAGTGATGGATCGCTTTTTTTGGGGATTTTTCATTACTTTTTATTGTAGAATGCTAACGTAAAGTCCAGGTTAATTTTCAGTAAACCCATCGTAAAAAAATAGTTTAATGCTATTAATCTCCCTATGAAAATGCAAAATATGTGTTTTCACTGAAGAGCGCTCTCGAGTGCGCCTGCAGTGAAAACACAAAGTGTGGCTCTGCGATACAGAAATTTTGAATTTTGATAGGGATATTAATAGCACTAAGCTATTTTTTTAAGATTGGTTGCCTGAAAACAAATTTGGATATCACGCCGCCTTGTCAAAACACCGCATGGTACCGCACGCCGTTCAAAAATATTACTCTTACTTCTTCCCGGCTCGACACTGCGTCGTGCTAAAGTTTTTTGGTGCACACCGTACGGCACTGTGCCAGGTATCTTGCTTCTGTAAAGTGGGGTTGATGAGTGTGATGATTTTGATTGCGTGAGAAAGTGAAGGAGGGGAGATTTTTTGATTTTTCACACACACGTAAAAGAGAAACACTGTTGGAGTTAAGATAGTGTCCCGGCTCAGAGATAGTCGTCAACGCCAATAGACTGATGATTGTAGGACGGATCTCTCTCTCTAACATATAACTACCAAGCATTGATGAGAAAGAGACTTGGTCATCCACTGGTTATGTAAATATGCGTCTCATAATCGGAAGATGCACCGTTTTGAAATCAATGATAAGATATCAGGCATAACATTTGATAACGGCACAAAAGCATTTGTAAACAAACTTTCTAAGGCCCTTTACACGCGAACCAGAGTACGCCCACGCAAACCAACGACATCATCGGATAGGGGAAACTATCATCGTTCCGAAAGTGGTATTGGTTTGCGTGGGTGTACTTTGGTTCGCGTGTAAAGAGCCTTAGAGAGTTTGTTTACAAATGCTTTTGTGCCGTTATCAAATGTTATGCCTGATATACATTTGATAAGGAACAATTAAACAAAAAAGGGTGCTTGTTTTTCCTGAATTTTGCTTGACGTATTGCACATTTACGTTACTTAACGCAAGCTTCTCTTGTACTGTTGGCCTGTTGCCACTTCCTGTCAAGTTGACATTAATAGACAGGTCGATCGATGTGATCTGAGCATATTAAATTTAATCCGTTCTGACGAAATGAAACTAAGGCGTTAAATACCGTCATTACTTTCTGGATTTTTTCAAACGCATATTTCTCAAAACTATTAATGGGAAATATGTCATTTAATATGTCATTCGACGGAGAATTTATCCGTAAAATTTTTGGTGTATAGTGCAAATAGTGAAAATAGTTAAACAATTAAGAAATTTAACGAACAAAATAGGAAAATTTCACGAACCAACCAGAAGAGCGGACGGATGGGAAAAATCTATATTCTCTCGCATAGATATCACTTTCCAGCCCATGTGTAAATTTGCCTCCAACAGCGCTTTCTAGCAAGACGGTCGATCTAAGCGCAGCTCAGTGATACCTCCATAATACAGGAAGAGGAAGAGCAGCGGAAATGTTCGTCCACAAAAGTCAAATTGCCTTCACCATCATCAGTTCCAGCCAGTGTGGTTAGTTCTACGGGATTATCCGTAAACCTACGGATTTTTAGATTTACTACGGATCTATGGACCGACCATAAAATTCTACGGATTTTTCAGATTTTTTGGGATTTTTTTTTAGTGCCGAAGAAATTCTACGGGTTTTAAACAATTTGGCTCAACCACCGCTCATCACTTTAAATTTTCTTTTGGAATGACTGTTTTTGGAAAATAGTCGTTAAGGGGAAGCTTGCCGGCCCGAAAATAAAAAAATATTTTCGGTAAATTTTTATTTCTTTAAAAATATTGGGAAAAAATATCAAAAATCAAAGAAAATCAGTTTGTTCCTTAGATTTTTGTCAAAAATTGCATGTAAATTTTTTTCTATCTCATCATGAAAAAAAAAATTGGACTCTCAGCAAAACCGAAAAGTTGATGTTTTGTGGTTTTTTGAGTCCAACTTTATGCCATAATGACTTATAAAAAATGTTTTTGAACGTGAATTTTCTTTGAAAAATTAAAAAATATGTGATTTTCTTAAAATTTTGATATCTTTTTCCAATATTTTTAGAAAAATCAAAACGTAATTATTTTTTTCGGAGCGGTGAACTTCCCCTTAAATTGCAAAACTTGCGCAATGGAAACAAATGTACCTAGGGTAAATGACGGCTACGGCAAAACCTTATTTTATTATCGTCAGAGGGGTACAAACAATATCATTGTGTTTCAGAGTATCTATTGGCCAAATTTGAGTGCTCTAGGACTTTTTTTTTACCTCCTGACGATAATAGGTTAAGGTATTGCCTAAGCCGACATTTCCCGTATCTACGAATCGTACTCCATGAAAAGGTAGTAACACTGGTTCCAGCCCTAGTTCCCGATAGTAGAGCATGTCGGAGCTCGGTGATAACAATAGGTGCAGAAGTGTGGTTTACATCTCACTGCAGCCTGAAAAATTATCGAGAAAATCTACCCAAGAAAAATCCACGTAAACACTCGAACTTGACCTTACCGAAAATCCTTAAAAATTGTTTATAATCCCTGCTAAACTTTAACTGAAATGGTTATAGAACTTTACATGAACATTTATGTGGTAAAGTTTTAACCTTATGTATTATGGTTTTTTTTTAAGTGAACCGTACAAATAATGGGTTGTTAAGAACCGTTACCATTCCCATAGAGAGTGACGACACTCACGCTAGTATACTGCCGTTATACGCATAAGAGTCCCACGGTGCATAAGGATTGCATAGAACATGGGACAGTTATGCGTATAACGGCAGTATAATGCGTGCAGTATTATCTAGACATTTTTGACGTTTAATCGTCTTTCTCTATCCAGCACAGGATGAATGGATGTTTTGTTTGGTTTGTTTTCCCACTAATCTGTTTCTCTCTTGCTCGCACTTCTTCAGTTTAAATGGTGCATTAGTGTGCGCCGATTAAACGTCATGCTCTATGCTCTAGCGTTCATACTCATAAGGGTCTAACTACGATGATCGATTTTCTTAATTTCTCAACGGGTTTGCTCTAACTGTTGGTATCAATATCATTTGAAATATAAGTTTTAAACAACTAAAAGAACTAAGCACAAAAACATTTGTACCAACTAATCGTGATCCTACGTCAACCTTCCGTTTGTGCATCTAGGCACAGGTTCATCTACTTTTTAAATTTGATTTTTTCTTCGAGGTCATCACTGATTAGCCACAAACATATAAAGGGTTCAATTTAATGGTCGTTAGAGGACTCTAGGCATCATTGAAATATCATTGCATTTCAAGCACAATTGCCACAGAATCACCCTAATAAAATTTGTATGGTTATTTTGCTTAACGAAGTGTTCAGGGTATCATCCAAACCATTTGTGGAATAGTTCAATCATTTGGGTTATTGTTCGGGCATGAATTTTTTTTTTATTACACAGCAAAAAAATAATTTTGATATCACGTCAAAGTGGATGCACTACAATCATGTCGAAAATATGGTGTAATATTACTTGCTAAAAAGGACAAAATTATCATTAATACAATGCATGAACTGACATTACGCTGCTTTTACTGCATTTGTTTATTTATGTGGTCATAAAAATTACATGAAATTTTCGACATGATTGTAGTGCATCCACTTTGATGTGATATCAAAATTATTTTTTTGCTGTGTAGGGCAGGCATACCAAAAGTACCGCCTCATGACAGTATTCCAACGGCTGCCGCTTTCTTTTTCCTACGACAGCCTTGAGCTTGAGCTATAAGTGACAGCCCACAGTGAGGCTGTCATACCATAGAGGTAACTCTAAGAATAGAAGGTCCCGAAGAAACGCGCTCAACTTTTTAGCTCAGCTTTGGTAGTATCTTCGGATGTAATTTTGTTCGCAAAATCGATGTACATCGTACAACGTTATATTACACAACCGATGGATTGACCTGGTTGCAGCAGTTTGGATGTAATATTCAACAACTTTTTTTCTGTGTATAAACCAACTGTCGCGAGAAGGCTGTACAATTTGGAAGCCTGCACAGAACGCACAAAGTGGGCCCTCACAATAATTTTTATTTATCATCTCTGATAGTACTATCGTAATAATACCAGGGTCCATTTAAATCGACAGTAAGCATGCATAAGGGCGTAAACGCGATGATCGATTCTCTTCTTCGATTTTCTCTTTTGTTAATAACTCGCTAGAATTAACTAAAGAGACTGAATTGGGTTAATATAATAAATTCAGCCTCTTTAGAATTAACGTTTCTTGGTGCGTTTGGTGTTGCTTTTGATAGCCAATACAACCTGTTACAACCAATCCTCTGCCAAGAAGGAGAGTTGGTGAAGCCACCACCATTGGTGGTGTCAGCACTTTAGCCTACAGTCACAGGAGTGGAACTTTGGATCAGAAAGTGGCTCCACTTGTCATTTGCGAACACTAGCGCACCTAGCGGTAGAAGGCATCTTCTGCCTGCAGTTAAGATAGGCAGCATGCTATGATAGTGTGAGTGCACATAGAAAGCCCGTGTGGAACGCTACCACAACACATCGCTTGTTGAGCAGAAAAACGAACACTTTTTGATTCACCGATTTGTTTGCACTTCTCCTTCTGTTCTGTGCTACAGTTTTTATGCTATGTTGAGCGTTGCCAGTATTCCAGACTTATCTGGATTTTCCAGATTTTTAGTCGTCTTGCCAGATACACAGACAGACCACGTATATTTCCAGATTTTTTAAATATCTTCCAGATTTTCCCAGATTGTTTAAACATGTTACTTTAAAAATATCACTGCAATTGATTTAACCTCTAAAAATAATCCAAACTTACTCATTTAATTATTAAAGGCCATTAACGTTGGACATTATTGGAATTTTAAGGTAATTCTGAAAATAGTTCACAGTGTAGTGTGAGAAGAATTCCTTGTGAAATCAAAGGAGAACTTCAAGCTAATTCTGAGTAGTGTTCCATCTATCTTTTTGGGCTTCGTGGTCGTTCAGGCGTATTGTTAGTGCCACGAAGTGAGGGTTCGATTCGCGCTCCAGCCGGTGCAAATTTTGGCAACCTGAAAATTTCCCTACTGGTCCACTGAGTGTGGTGTGTTGTAGGTTGTCTAGTGTTAAATATTCAGCCCTAGTAGCACGCTTGTCTCTAATCGGTTGTGGAAACTTCTATTCGACTTATTTCAGTCATACACAAGTTGCTGCAATTTATTGTAGTGGAAGTGTGCTACTCGGGAGTCTGTGCAACCTCTGGTTGAAGACGGTGTCAATTGTCTTGTCAACTCTGATGACAATTGCATGGAGATTTTGTGAATATAGGAAATACAATCCGCAAGGGAAATCATAGAAAACTTTTATGATGAAACTTAAGGACTATGCTGATTGTTAGAATAGTTTCAATGGAGCTCTGTCCAATGTTTCTATGTACTTAAGAAATACTGAAGAGGATTTAAAAATAATTCTGACCTTACCTACAAAGCAGTTCAAAGGGAATTATGAGAAGAGTGTGTTGGTCATTCTGAAGAGTGCACCAAGGAAATTATTAAGAATATTTTAAGAATTTCATAGGGAAAACTGGACATATTATGCCAATTATTGGGAATTATTAACAGTTTGAGGAAATTGTGGAATTGGAGAGTAATTTATAAGAGATTACAAGAAGTAATGCTATGAACTCTTAAAATGTTACTGGACAACTTTGGATATTATCAAGATTATTTTAGGGGAATCCAGAAAATAAGTATGGTAAAATTGTAGGATCATTCAAATTAATCTAAAAAAAACAAAGGTGAAAATATCCTGTGAAGAGTTCCAAGTAAATTCAGCCCAACAAAAATGTTCATGATCTGGGACCCAGGAAAAATATAAATTCCGGAATTTATAATCATTTCAAGATCCTGACGCTATCAGACTTTTTATTTTAGTAATATAATAATATTAGTATTCGTAATGGTCATGCGAATAGTGGAGTTACCCGTAGTTTAGGTAAATTTTGTGTGAGTACCATGATGTTAGGCTTTGATTCCCACTTCAGCCAGTGGAATTTTGCTTCAAAATAATATTGCCTACAGGTCTATAGGGAGTTGTGTGTTGTATGATGTCAAGAATTAAATTGTAAATGTGAACAACCTCAGGGTAATATTAGAATTGTTTAGCACTAAAACAATCTTTATATTCTGGTACTGCATCAAATAGTAAGGACTACATCGACTATTAGTTAAAAAAAATCCATCCCATCAAATTTGCTTAATTCTTTGCTTTTCATTCGTTTTTTTCAAATTACAGTTTAAAAAACAATTCTAAAAATATTTTCTGCAGTATGTTGCCCACATTTAATTCAATTTTTGAACTGCTGCGTAATGGATATTTAAACTTTTTTGGGTACACTGTGTCAATACTTTTCAACTTTTGGATGATTTAGTAATGCTAACAAGTTATTTGCTTTATATAATTTATTTGTAATATGTAATTCATAATCATTTTAGTACTTTAAATAAATCCCAGATGATCATGCTGATGATCATGATTTTTTGGAGCATTCCAGATTTTTACAGATTTCATATTTTAACTGGTCCAGATATTTCTGAATATGACCTGGCAATGCTGGCTATGTTTATATGTGCATTTGACGACACGTTAAAAAATCTTATGTGATAAATCAATCATGAAACTAGAAATTTTCATGATTAGCTTGTCTCATTTAAGAATTAATATAATATTTACGCGCTTGTTGAACATTTATCACGATTAATTTGCCGTGCAACAAATCAAACATCTATGTAGACGGAGCATAATTTCTCAATGTTTTCATCAGCTGTCTTAAGTGGACCCTACACGATTGCTTTTATTGACAATAATCGTATTGTCAATACATTCTATATTGACGTCAATATATCGAGATTGACAATATTTCTGAATTCACATCATCAATATTATTGTCAATAATTCCCCTTCGCGTCAATATATTGATGCGTGTGGGGTTTGCTTTAGATTAGCAGATAATCGAGCCAAAGAACCAACAACTTTGACTTCAACTAAAATGTTGGTGGATGACATTTCTTCCACCGGAGTGATTACAACTCTACATTGAACAAATTCTAGAAATTTGCTTCGGTAAGAAAAAAGTACCCAAAATTGAGTTCCTTTCACTCATCACGTGGCTTCCGTGGGGCTAGGTAAAATTAAGTTAAAGAAGAAAACTCAATTTTGAGTAATCCTGGCGTTGACCAAGTTGACAAAAAAATAATAAAACGGAGCAGACTGGAACCGAACCATGGACGTTGAGATTACGGGGCCCGTGTGTTGACCACTCGTCTCTCAACGCTTTTGAAAATGAAATGGTTAAAGGCGCATAAAAGCAACCTCAATGAAAATAAACTTATATTTGAGTTAATTTATTATTACTCAATAGTTGAGTAAATTTTAACCAACGCCGCTTTTCTGATTCACTCAACGGCGGACGTCAAATGATAGAACCCAACGTTGAGTTTTTTTTTAACTTAATTTTGAGTATTTTTTCTTACCGTGTAGTAATGCAAAGAGAAAACCGATGCAGAGAATCGATCATCGCGTATACGCCCTTATGCATGCTCACTGTCGAAATGCAATTAAGTATACTCAATTACGAGGATTCACACGATTTCGACGTGCCATGTACATATCCCTATTATGTTTCTTAAGCGTATAGTTCAAACTAAAGAGGCTGCATTTATAAAGAGATCATGTCAAAACTGGAACAATCGAATATTTGTCAAAGTCATAGGAAAAGTTATAGACCTTTTTGACGTTTAATTGTCTTTCTCTATCAAGCACACAGGGATAAATGGATGGTTTGTTTTCCCACTAATCTGTTTCCCTCTTGCTCGCACTCCTTCAATTTAAATGCTGCAACCGATTAAACGTCAAAAAGCTCTATTCGAATCGAGCAGAAGATCTGTCAAATGGATAAGATGTCGCCTCTTTACAAAAATTAAGTCTCTTTAGTTCAAACAAGTCTTATATAAAGTTGTTTTCTTTTAGGTTACATAGTACGTATTGAAGGAATGCATCCATTACTATACGAAGTTCGTGGACTTACAGAAAATCGCAAGTATGACTTTTGGGTAACAGCTTCCACTTCAAAAGGAGAAGGTGAAGCAACTCCTGTTGTATCTCAAACAACCAGCACTCGAGCTCCAGCAAAGATTGCGTCGTTTTCTCAAACCATCAAAATCGCTGTTAGGTCCAGTATATCACTGGAGTGCGTCGCAGTCGGTAATCCAACACCAAGAACGCGCTGGATCACGAACGAACAACCAGTAACCTTTAGTCCATACTATGTCATATCACAAGGCTTTTTGAAAATTCATAATGTTGAACCAAATCTGTCCGGAAACTACACTTGCTCTGCAAAAAATCTCTTTGGTGAAGATGAGATATCATATATGCTCATAGTACTACAAACTCCGAATATAACACTTTTATCAATCCAATACGCATCGTATGATAGTGTTCGTGTTATATGGGAAACCTCAAATGATAGTGGCGCTCCTATACAAGGTTATAACTTGTTCTACAGAGCAGCCGCGGGAAGCTGGACAAGTGTCTCAATATCATCTGACCAATTTGCTCATACACTCAATGGCCTAAAATGTGGCTCACAGTATATTTTAAAAATGAACGCGAACAACAAAGTAGGAGTTGGTCCTTCGACAGATGAACTAGTCGTTTGGACTAAAGGCAAGGGTAAGTTGATCTACTGTTGATTAAATGCTGTGTTTTCATTACTGTAAGATCGTATAGTGTAATCTTTAACTTAGCATACTTAAATTCAAATATCTCTCTCTTTGCGTTAACTACCACCTACATTTGTGACGAAAATGAATCATAAATTTGTTACCCTGATTTTGAACGAAATATCCAAGCCAGATTCATTTGTACCTCTAAAATATAGCGAAAAATAAATGCTTCATTCACTCGAAGTGATTTCAGCTTGTAAACGAATTTATACATTTTTACGTCCATGGTTGCTTTAAACCAAAATGTCTTATCATACTATCAATACAAACTGACATTTGTACACACTTTAAAACAAAACTACTTTTTTCCCTTGCTTTGTTTTCCGTTGATCTTGTTTTCCGTACCGACGCCAGGGAGGCACACACCTGGGACCTACCTATCGACCCATCAACTCATGGGCTGGACTTCATTTGCCTCAGAAAATCCCGGTGGCGCCGACTGGGATTGAACCCAGCCTCTTTGGGGTGAAAGGCAATCACGCTTACCACTACACCTCCGGTGCCGCTAAAACAAAAATGCTTGAACATATATTATATTATATAATATTATATTATATTATATTATATTATATTATTTTATATTATATTATATTATATTATATTATATTATATTATATTATATTATATTATATTATATTACATTATATTACATTGAGAATTTCATACATGTGAAATCGATGCCGATCTGCCTCACTCTGTACATTTCAAATACCAAGTTTGCAGGAAATTTCTCCTGAATGACAACACCTAATAGAAAATACCATAAATACCATAACCGTATTTTCCTAGCACCAACGATAGATCAGACGTTGCACCCTGCAGGCGATATGCATACCTCGACTGATTTCCCGTTGGCATAATGTAAAAATAATTGCTCACGGTTTCCAACCTGGACCCTACCTATCGACCTATCAACTCATGAACCGGGGACCAACGGCTTTACTTCCCGTCCAAAGGAAGGCGTGATCAGAGATGTTATGCCTCAGCACATCCCGGCGGTGCCAACTGGGATTGAACCCAGGCCTGCTGGGGTGAGAGGTATGAGCAGGATCTGCGTCCAGTGATTTAATTTTTTTTAGCAATTTCATCCATGATGGGATTCTGAAGGAGCTGAATCTGATCATTAGCTTTATCTCTGTTTTCCACATTACTGTTCACAATTATCATAACCGAATATAGGAAGTTACAAGTAGCCCCAAAACACACACTAACCGTGGTAAAACCATAAAAAACGAAAGACGGTAGGCTATGTAGGTTCTTGTTACTATATGTTTTATATTAGAAAGTAGCTTTTAATGTAGAATTTCATTGAAACAGACCAAATAAATACAGTCCGAAACATCAAGCAAAGCAAAAAAAAAAAAAAAAAAAAAAAAATCAGTCCGCATCGTGCTCTCTTGCCGTGCGGATCTATTTGCTTTTTGCTGAAGGAAGTGTTACTACTACCTAAAGCTACAACAAATTTAAACAGCACTTTTCAGTGCTCAACCTGTAAAAATTTTCTACCTTGTTCAACTCTTATTCCTCTTCGATCCTTGTTTGGACCCTACCCGAGGTAATCCTTCTTGGATATCGATTTGGAAAATTCCTCTTCGATCCTTCAGATTCTTATAGTAATCTGCTTGGAAGTCGATTTGGATAAAAATGTACTGCCGCCATGGCGCCTAAACGCAAAAGAAAGGGGCAAACTCTTGACCCCCCTTCTGATGAAATTAATTTGAGTAATCAATTTGATTTGCTCACGGATGATGAGAATGATCCATCATCCAAGAAAAATTCTAGTAAACTTTCCCGGCTTAATGCCAAGAAGGAAAAGATTCCCCCTATTGTGATAACCACTACCGATTTCCATGCTCTTCGCATGGAACTTTTGAATTTCGTGAAAGTTAAGTTTTCACTACAAATTGGACGTCGGGGTGAATGCCGTGTATTGGCTGAAACCTTGGACGGATTTAAATGTCTTCTCAAGTATCTTACTGAGAAGAAGCACAATTTTTTTACTTACGACACCAAAACTGAACGTGTGTTCAAGGTTGTCATGAAAGGACTGCCCAGTGGTGAATCCCTGGATCAGATCAAAGATGAACTGGCAAAATTACTTGGAGTTGTGCCACTCCAAGTAATCAAAATGAAAATGAAATCCCGTCCTGGCGATTCGCGCAACGGGATTTCTAATGATTTTTATTTAGTTCACTTCAAATCTAGTGAACTAAACAACCTTAAGGTCTTAGAAAAAGCTAGCCTTATGCTCCATGTCCGAGTGAAGTGGGAACACTTCAGGAAGACTGGAGGAAATTTCCAAAACCTCACCCAGTGCCGTAAGTGCCAGGGATGGGGTCACGGAACTAAACATTGCTACATGCCAGCTAAATGCATGAATTGTGGTGATTCCTCTCACGCAAAGGACGACTGTCCTGTGAAGGAAGATCCTAAGAAATTTAAATGTTCAAATTGTGGTGAAAACCACAAATCCAATTTTTGGGAATGTAAGACTCGCAAAGCGATCCTACAATCTCGTTCTAACCGTCAGGTAGGAAACGCTCCACGTTTCCGACCAGGTACAAATTCCTCTGCTGTTAACAACGGTCAGCGAGGAACAAATTCTACATTCGTACCCGTAGGTACAAATATCTCCCCTGCTTCAAATGTTTCATCTGTACCTACTCCCCTCGCTGCTAACAATGTTCAGCGAGTTAATGGAGCTACCTATGCTGCTATTGCAGCGGGTAGAAATCAAAATACTAACCACCGTTCTAACGGAAATTTTGACAATTTTGACTTAGGAAGCATTACTGCCCCCAAAATGGAATTTTTACAGAATTCATTAATTGACATGATTTCTGATATGCTTAAATCTAACTCCATGTTTGATGCTATTCAAACTGGAGTAAAATTTGCAAATAATATTGTCATGACTTTAAAATTCAGTAATGGATTTTAAAGCATTAAACATTTTAAATTGGAATGCTCGATCTCTTAAAGATAATGAAGACGAGCTATTTAATTTTTTGAGAGTTCATAACGTGCATATTGCCGTTATAACTGAAACGTTCCTTAAACCTGACCATAAGGTTAAGAAGGACGCAAATTACTTGATTTATAGAAATGATCGTCTTGATGGACCCTGTGGTGGCGTTGCCATCATTATTCATAGACGAATCAAACATAAAATTCTTTCTTCATTTGAAACCAAAGTTTTTGAAACTTTGGGAGTTTCTGTTGAAACAAAATTTGGACAACTTAAGTTTATAGCTGCCTATTTGCCATTCCAATGCGTAGGCCAGCAAAAGAATTTTCTCAAGGGTGAGCTCCAGAAACTTACCCGTCATAGGTCTAAATTCTTCATTATTGGTGATTTTAATGCAAAACACCGCTCATGGAATAATGCTCAAAGCAATTCCAATGGTAATATTCTGTTTGATGATTGTTCTGCAGGTTATTACACTATTCAATATCCAAACAGCCCAACATGCTTTTCTTCTGCAAGAAATCCCTCCACTATTGATTTGGTCTTAACTGATTCATGTCAACTTTGTAGCCAATTGGTTACCCATGCTGACTTCGGTTCTGATCACCTTCCAGTAACTTTTGAAATATCCCAAGAAATAATTTGTAATCCCAACAGCTCTACTTTCAATTACCATAGAGCTGATTGGGAGCAGTATCGAACATTTATGGAATATAACTTCGATCCAAACATTCCTTTGCAAACCAAAGATGAAATTAATTATGCTCTTGAATCTCTGACTACTTCTATAGTTGAAGCAAGAGCTGCCTCAGTACCAAAATGCGAGGTTGAATTCGATTCAATTATAATAGACGATGATCTTCAGCTCTTGATCCGTCTTAAAAATGTCCGTAGGAGACAATATCAAAGAACACGCGATCCTGCCATGAAAGTTATCTGACGGGATTTGCAAAAACAAATTAAAAAGCGATTCTCTGCCCTGAGGAACAAAACTTTTGAAAATAATATTTCTAAATTAGACCCGAGTTCCAAACCCTTTTGGAAACTCACAAAAATTTTGAAAAAACCTCAAAAGCCTATTCCAGCGCTTAAAGAAGGGGGTAAAATTTTGATCACAAATTTGGAAAAAGCTCAGAAACTTGCTAAGCAATTCGAGAGTTCCCATAATTTCAGTTTGGGTCTTACTAGTCCTATTGAGAATCAGGTTGCTCGGGATTATCTGAATATTTTCTCTCGGGAAAATATTTTTGATGATTCCTGGGGGACTGATTTGGACGAAGTAAGGTCTATAACTAAAAAGTTTCAAAATATGAAAGCTCCAGGTGATGATGGAATTTTCTATATCCTCATCAAAAAACTCCCAGAGAGTACCTTGTCTTTCTTGGTAAAATTATTTAACAGATGTTTCCATTTGGCATACTTTCCTGATAAATGGAAAAATGCAAAAGTTGTTCCAATTTTGAAGCCGGATAAAAATCCAGCTGAAGCTTCTAGCTACCGTCCAATAAGTTTGCTTTCTTCAATAAGTAAACTTTTTGAAAAGATAATTTTAAATAGAATGATGCTTCACATCAATAAGAACTCAATTTTTGCAGATGAGCAGTTTGGATTTCGCCATGGGCATTCAACTACTCATCAACTCTTAAGAGTTAACAATTTAATTCGTTCAAACAAATCTGAAGGCCACTCAACTGGAGTTGCTCTTCTAGACATAGAAAAAGCATTCGACAGTGTTTGGCATAAAGGTTTGATTGCTAAATTGAAAAAGTTTAATTTTCCACTTTATATTATGAAATTAGTTCAAAATTATTTAACTGACAGAACTCTTCAAGTAAATTATCAAAATTCCAAATCTAATAGACTACCTGTTAGGGCAGGAGTTCCTCAGGGTAGCATTCTTGGGCCTATATTGTATAACATTTTCACTTCGGACCTCCCTGATTTGCCTCAGGGTTGCCACAAATCTTTGTTCGCTGATGACACAGGCATTTCCGCTAAAGGAAGAAGTCTTCGTGTTATTTGCAGCAGACTGCAGAAAAGTTTAGATATTTTCTCTTCTTATTTACAAAACTGGAAGATTTCTCCCAACGCTTCCAAAACACAACTTATAATATTTCCACATAAGCCTAGAGCTTCGTTTTTGAAACCTAGTACTATGTACTAGTACTATAGTACCTAGTCACTATGAACGGAGTTCCAATTTCCTGGTCAAACCAAGTGAAATATCTTGGATTAATACTTGACCAAAAATTAACTTTTAAAGATCACATTGAGGGCATTCAAGCCAAATGTAACAAATATATAAAATGTTTGTATCCTCTTATAAACAGGAAATCCAAACTTTGCCTGACGAATAAACTTCTAATATTTAAACAAGTTTTTAGACCGGCCATGCTTTACGCTGTGCCAATATGGTCTAGTTGCTGCACTACCAGGAAAAAAGCACTTCAAAGGATTCAGAACAAAATTCTGAAAATGATTTTGAAGTTGCCTCCCTGGTACAGTACAACCGAAGTACATAGAATTTCGAATGTTGAGACTTTAGCACAAATGTCCAACAAAATAATTAATAATTTCAGGCAAAAATCGTTGCAATCCTCAATTGCAGCGATTAATTCCCTTCATACTTAGATAAGATTTAGTTTTAGTTTTTAGTTTTAAGATATCAATTGTTATACTGACATGCAGGTTAAAAAACCTGTTTAAAATACTGAATTGCCAAGACATGAACAATGTAAAAACACTTAGATATATATCATAACAATTAAGGCTGGTACGTTACTGCAGTAACTGGAGCACCTAGGTTAAAATGAAATGTAATTTATTTTGAATTTGGAACAAATAAAGAGTTAAAAAAAAAAAAAAAGCAAAAAAAAACGTTTCGACAGCAATCAGACTGAGAAAGCCAACATCATCCATACATACCAGTCGCATTAATTACCATTTAGCTCGACGGATATTTCCAGTTGTTCGCTTCCACATGCAACGACAAAAGTGAACGAGCGGCAAACAATCAGTAATAGAGGACTGATGCAAAGTTTGACATTTTCGCTCCACAGTGCTCAAACGGTCTTAAATCGGGTCCTTAGCCTCTTAATATTTGAACACATTTGGTAAGAAACTGACATGGCACAAACCATTTGAAGTTCATTTGGAAATTACTATGGGAAATCCAACATTTTTGTTCATTGTCTTCTAGCCTTTTTCCATATTAAACTGTTAAAAAATTCTATAGCTATGCTCAGCTACAACTTTGAAAATATAGTTTTTAATCCAAACGTTAATTAAAATAGTTGTTAAATTTTTAAGAGATTGATAATCTTATGTCATGATTAAGCAGCTGTTTTGTGAGCAACACTGTATACTGCAGTGTGACCTAGTAGCCATGATTTTTGTGTTCTATTCTACGCGTCAGAAACACCTGCTGAACAGTGGATTGAGCATAATCATAATACATCAGTGACTTGAATCACTAATAACTTTTGTTCCTAACATTTTATAGAAAAGTTGTCTGGAATAAAGTTGAGGCTGAAAAAAATGTCTACAAGCACTGCTATATTTTTCAAAGTATAGTGATATAGTGAGTTGGATTGATTTTTTTTCCATGATTTGTTTTCCGTCGATCTTGTTTTCCGTGCTGAGCACCAATGCTACCGACGCCAGGGAGGCAGCTCCCACAACTGGACCCTACCTATCGACCCATCAAACTCATGAACCGGGGACCAACGGCGTTATCAAAGATGTTATGCCCTGGGATTGAACCAAGGCCTGCTGGGGTGAGAGGTAATCACGCTTACCACTACACCACCGTTTTCCCGTAATGATTTCCGTATAAACTTCAAATGGTTTGTGCCATGTCAGTTTCTTACCAAATGAGTTCAAATTTTGGAAGGCTATTCAGGTCCCTTTTTGGAACCATTTGAGCACTGTGGAGCGACAATGCCTCAGTCTAATGAGCAAGCATTTATTATACGATTATTTTTATACGGTTGTTTTTGTCATTAGTTTTACGATTATTTTTATACGATTTTTTTTTAATTTTTTTCCCACACCAGGACCCTAGCCTACCTATCGACCAATCAGCTCTTGGACCGTGGACCAACTGCTTTTACTTCCCTTCCAAAGGAATGCGTGATCAAAATGTTTTGCCTCAGAAAATTCCGATGGCGCCGACTCAATCCCACCCAGGCCCTTTGGAGTGAGATGCTGTCACGTTTACCACTACGGCACCGGCGCCGCTAACTTATTCTGACTGCTCTAACATATATCCTAATCCTTAAGTCTTTCTGGAAGTTGTTTACCCCTTTGATCGGAAAATTTGTTAACTTTTCTCGGAAATTCTTTGTGATTTTCTCTTAAAGTTTTGTAGAAGTTTTTCTGGCTTCTTTTATAAACATTCAATAAGTCTTCAGAAATTATTTTGCGAACTGATTTTTAAGAAGTTATTTCGATTAGTATTCTGATTATGTTTTATGTTTCATATAAAATGAATGGGAAGATCTATCTCTATGAGGGTTATTCTATATTACATATTCGTCAATATCTCAGGACCAGGAGTTTTATTTAATTTAGGTCAAAATAACTAGATTTTTGCATATTCGTTCGATATCGACTCATGCAGATTTAAGTAGTATTTTATCTTTTCATTTTTTTTAAAGCTTCCTGAAAAGCTTCAATAGAATGTTTAGAAGGTTTATTGGTTCATTTACGATTATTTTTTAATGTTTATTACCCATTCCATTCAAGAAAAAATATTAATGTAAATAAATTGTGTCCTTCCCAGCTCCACAAATACCAGAGGAAAGCGATTTGATAACAACAAATTCAACATGTCTCAATCTACACCTCAACTCCTGGCACAATGGAGGATGTGCAATATCACACTTCTCAATCGAGTATCGTCGCTTGCATACGCCTTTCTGGACAACAGTGTCTTCCGATATTTCTGGAGTAGAAAAAAGCAACGAAAACATTTCATTTTGTGAGTTTTCACCTGGAACGTGGTACGAGCTTAAGGTTACATCCAACAACGATGCCGGGGAAACAACTGCACAGTTTAATTTTGCCACTACTACATTAGCTGGTGATAAAATATCACCGCCTGAATATCCGACAGTTGAAATTACAAGCGTGGACAAAACATCCAAAGACAACGACAAAGTTCAGTGGATTCAAACCAGTGCTGCAGTTATAACATTAGGTTCGATGGCCGTTGCGGTGTAGGTATCACGTTAAGCTTAAATTAATTCTAGATAGAGCTGGAATAAGGGCGTAGCAGCTTTTGTAAACAATGACTTCTCTCGATGATTTCTAGGAATTCAAGGCACTCCCACGCAAACCAACATAACCATCAGATAGGGGAAGCTCTCCCCTATCCAATGATGATGTCATTGTTTACAAAAGCTGTTACGCTCTAATTCCAGCTCTATATAGAATTGTTATACAAAATAATCCATGCTACACACAAATCTAGATAGAGCTGGAATTAGGGCGTAACAGCCTTTGTAAACAATGACTTCTTTCGATGATTTCTAGGAATTCAAGGCACGCCTACATAAAGCAACATATCCATCGAGTAGGGGAAGTCTTACCCTACTCGATGATGATGTCTATTTGCCAGGGAGAGCCATCGCGACCAGAAGGGTATAACAATAAAATAACAAGATTATAACAAGCCTTGTTATGGATAATTGATTATGATGTAATTAAGTTAAGGAAACCTATCACCAAGAAAATAATATAACAAATCTTTAACAAATTTAAATGCATTGATTTTTTTATGATTTTGTAACTGATTCTTAACAAGATTTTATCACAACCAGATATTTTTGACCAAACCCCAATAAAAAATCAAATATATTTTTTCTTGTGTCATTCAAGCATTATATTTTCTATTAGTTTGATAATGTTTTGTATTTCATTTACACAGTTAATCAATCTGAGTTTTTGATTTACAAAGTGAAATATATGATTATAACACGATTTGATATAATTTTGTAATAGCACAACAGAATTGTGTTGCAAAATTTGTTATGTTTTTGTTATGAAAGTAACATAGCGAAATATATTTTTGTTGTATCTAAAGGAAATTTTTGTTACATTTTTTGTTATTTTAACTACATCTGGGATCTTAAGTGTAACAAGCTGTGTTACAAATTATAGTGAAACAAAATAACACAAGCTGTAATAAATGTGTTATTCCCTTATGGTCGGGATGGCTTTCAAGAAATCATCGAGAGAAGTCATTGTTTACAAAAGCTGTTTCGCCCTAATTCCATCTCTATCTAGAAATATGAAAACGCTGTCATTCAGAGGGAGGGAATGGAGGATGGATCAGCTGGTTGGCATAATATTGTTTAATCATTTTTATTTCTGTCCTGAACGACAAAAACCTTAGTTTTATTATAAGCGTAGTGCCCTGCAGTGGAGTATGGTGTGAAACTCAAAATTAGAAATTAAAAATTGAGTAAATAATCAAATCGAACCCACACCTACCAGTAAGCTAAACGGGTGCTCTATCACCATGGGGCTGTCCATAAACTACGTAGACACTTGGGGGTGGGTGTTCCGAAAATGTCTACGCTTGTCTACGGGTGGGGGGGGGGGAGGATGAAGGAGTCTATGCGGTTTTATTGGAACGAGTTTTTTTTTTTATTTAGCCGCTTACTACTGTGATGCTTCTATCTACAAGTTAATTTATTTTTATAAATAGTCTGAACCCAGTTCCAAGCCTTGCAAATGCCAGTGTGAACCTCGATACGATTCAAATTTTAAAAGAAAGTTTCAAAACTATCGTTTGTCAGAAAACAGAATAAAAGTGAAAAAATTACATTTATTCCGAAAAGAAAATTTTCACCGAGAGACAAAGAACAAAACCAGAAAATAACACAATCATTGAAAATTATGAGGAAAACATAACCCACAGGAATAAACAGTTGAATTTTATAAAGTTGGGTATGATTAAACACCTCAATACAGTTCTGGATAAATCAGGATGCGATGCTGAACGAATTATGTTCCTATTGGGCCTTTTTGGATTATTGATTAGTTGGTAAGTCTATGAAATTTAAATGACCATAATCTAGAGTATTGTGCTGTTACAATAAAATATAAGGTCAGCAGCGAAATACTGTTCCAATTAATCTAAAAGGATTCCATTTCGCTTAGTGCAAACGGTTGAAGACCGGCGCACAATGGATAAAGTGCACGAACGTCATACGTTCCTGCAAAATAAAAGCTAAATCTATTGTCTAACTCTAGGGGCAGATCACTTGAGGTGCATTTATTATAACAAAAAAATTAAATGCATTTTCTCAGTGCATTTTTGGCTGCGTGTAATTGTAAGTGACACCTCCCACTAATACATGCATGTATACATGAAAAGTTTTGTCCTGTTTTGTTGTTCGCTTCGGTTCGCTCAAATCCACACTCTTGACTTATTCCGCAGAAAAAATCCGTTGAAATTTCCGGTGGCAGCATTAAAAACCTCCACCGGAATCGTGCAGAGCCGCCTCCACCGAAAACGCGAGAAAACTCCGTCGAAGCTCACTGGAACCTCCTTTGGTAGCACCGAAAATCTCCACCGAAATCTCTCGGAACCCTCTTCGCCGTGAATATCTGAACACTCCGTCGAAACTCCCCTGGAAAATTTAGATGCTGCCAACGGAGGTTCCCAGAGACTTTCGACGAAGTTTCCACGCATTGTCGGCGAAAGAGGATTTGCACGATACCAGTGAAGAGATTGGATGTTCCAGACGGAAGCTCCAGGCATTTCCCCCCCTTTATCGATGGACGAAGTTCCGCGTGATTTCGGTGATTTTGGATGCTGCCAGCGGGAGTTCCTAGAAGTTTCAACGGATTTGTTTGCCTTCTCGGCGAATTAAATTCTGCATGATTTCGAAGACGATTCTAGCAGCTGCCAACGAAGGTTCTAGGAACTTTGACTTGTTATGATAATGGGTTCATCCACCAGAATACATTGGGGCTACATTGAGTCTGTTGATGTTGACAAATTTCGATGGCGTTTTCTTGCGATCAAGGCGGACGAGGTTCCATACACGGATAGAAATCTCCTTATACCTTTTGGCAAATTTCTATTGCTGATTATTCATAAAATGTGTAAGTCAACTAATAAGCAGACGCCTTGCAAAAAGTTAATGAAGATTATGTGTTAAATGAAATGTATAAGCGGTCACACATACCTTTAATGCATTCTCATAGGACCTATGTAATTTGTCTTATGGAATGTATAAGGCTGATGTTTTGGCAAAAATGTATAAGTGAAACACATGAATAAAATAATTGATTTTCGTTTCGTATATGGTTTCGGTGGCGATTTATGATGCTGCCAGCGGAGGTTCCAGGGAATTTTAACTGAGTTTTCTCACGTTCTCAACGGAAGAGGTTCAGCACATGGTGGAGGTTTTTGATTCTGCCAGCGGAGACTCCAGTTTCGACGGAGTTTTCTCGCATTCACGGTGGTGATTTTCGGTGCTGCCAACGGAAGTTTCAGGAAATCTGTACGGTATTTTCTCGTGTTTTAGGTGGAGGAGCTTCCGCATAATTCCTGTGGAGATTTCCGATGCTGCCAATGGAGGTCGCAAGTGAATTTTTGACGTAGAACTACGTCTTTAATTTCTATACTGGCGTTCACAATAAAAAGAAAATCAAAATTCAGACATGTAACGAAAAATCCCAAGCACGGACGTAACGATAGAGCGCAAATCTAACACACGACACATTGCGCATGCTCACATGATGCGAGCTCAATGCTCGGTTGACCGTTCACCATTTCACCAATCAAGGGAAGGGAGGAGAAAAGCAGCGGTAATTAAAACGCTTGCCAAATCGATTTCTTCGTCATTTACTTTCGAGTAACGGACGGATAAGCGTCGGGCACTACGTATAAGTGGAACAGCACGTTTTCCACCAATACGAAGACGACGACGAATGCACCCACATCGACTGGAGAAAAGGTTTCCCGCAAAAGACAGCAGTACTGGGCCGCCGTCATCCTGTCGGCATCGACTTGCACTGGTGTGAAAGAGCCAAATAGCGCTAGTTGTTCTTTCACAACAATTCAATTCAATGCCGGCCGGAGCACGTCTTGGTCTGGTGTGAATGCTGCCATATACTTGCAACCAGGAACGCTCCAGCCCGTAGTAAAAACGTTGCATCACTTCTGATCGGCCACAGATGGTCATGAGATTCACCGCTGTGGACCATCATCGTTAAGTGCGTTGCGCATTACAGTGTCACCATCATCGGTCAGTGTTCACTCGGCTGTCGACAGACCACTCTCAATGTGTGTCACGCGATCGTCTGTTCACTCGGCAGCAACCATTGTGTGGTCCTCCTCATTGTTCTTCATCAACAGTTCTTTCAGTCGATGCGTCGTCGACTTTGGAAAGCAACCGTTTCGTGATGAGTGTGATGACCACGTTTTACGTCCATTGCTGCAATGGAAGCGCTCTGATCCTCGTTGGCGAATCTGCCATAAAATGAAACCACTTGAAGCGGCTCCCGTTCTGGTGGAGGAGGCTTATTGGATCGCGGAAGATAAAATGTTTATTGTGTTGTACCTTTTGACTATAGTTTTAAGATGTATTGTATAGTGAACAAGAATCCTCGGTTCTGTAAAGTTAATTCGGTTGAGTCTTGTCATATAAATTAAAAAAACAAAAAAAAAACATCATCGGTGTCGTGAAACAATGTCTAAACTATGTACCAGGTCCGGGCGAGTAGATCTGTCTTTTCAGGGCAAACAACCAACAAACAAACGGCCCTTTTAAGGGCCACCAATTAAAATATATAAGGAGTTAAGAGCAAACACATTTGTTCCTACCACTCACAGACTTTGCGCTACATATTCCAGATCTTAGATGTAAAGTATTCATCGCCTAATTCTCTTACCATCGAACTATACTTACTGATATAGATAAGTAGTAATATCATCATTCAGAATGTAATGTCACAACAAACTTTTAAAATTACAGGTATCAAAAATCACTATTTTTTATCAGCTACACGGTAGCCGTCCCAAACGATCAAAAGGACACCAGAGACAAAAAAAAATATGGCCCTTCTCAGGGCCACCATTTGAAAAACAACCGGCCCTTTTCAGGGCCAACAATTCAAAAACGGAAAGAGTCGAGATAATATATTATCGATCAAGTAAAGGAACTAAATGCTCAACATATTTGTTCCGTCTACTAGCTAGCGGTCCTTCGTCAAGCTTCCGTTCGTGCCCCTAAGCACAGACCCTTCTACTTTTTTATAATGGAAAACTCTTTCATGGAACTTTTGGTGTAAAAACATCTAGTGTATCTATATTAATTTTGTTTTAGAAAGCCTTAAAGTTCAACTTTTAAAATACCGCTTCAACTTGCCCCGGTGTACATTACTTCTTATATTTTACTTGTGTATTGGCAAATTTCAGACTGTTATCTTTTACCGTTTTAGAGTCATTACCGAAAAACTAATTGCTGGTTATGCGCTATTTTAAGAAAATCATTAAACAAGGAAACGATAGTTTTTTTTTTCTAATATATCCTTTGGCTGGTCGTTAGTTTCACCACTGAAAGGTAAGAAGTATTCAAGCATGTATAAAATCATAAGAAAATTGTCATCAACCTGGCGAAGATTTTTCTTGCGATTTTCCTCCACTGTGATAAATTCCGTTGAAAACATTTTTCATATTATGTTTGTAATGTTCTGCTGAGATAATTTTCTTATCATTTCACTGTATAACGTTATTTCTACAATGAGCTATGAATTATCAAAGTACGAGGTTTTCAGTTTTTTTAGGGTGATTCCAAACTTGTGAGCGATTACATAAATAACTATTTTATTATGTGTGCAACTACCACTTTCATTTCAAAATTTGACTAACCCTGTTCTGAAAAAATCAGTCACGATTATTCAGTGTGAATTTGGGAAAATGTTGTAACTTTAGGTGAAGTTTTATTATACAAAACTTGCAAAGTTTATGGATCCAAATACTTACGAAGTAAGTTATGTTATGTTTTTTGGGGGGTGCCCCCACACTTTTGATAAGGAGTGTAAATGAATTCCCACAACGAACAATTTGTAAAGTTTCATGGTAATCTGAGAGGAAAAGTTTTGCCAACCTGCAATAGTGGTGTTAGTTTGCGTTGGCGAACTAACAGTTGAGACTAATTGACGTTTGAAGTACTTGTTTACAAACTCATTTTTTTACGGTTTGACTATTTGATCGAGATTTTAACCCGATCAATCCAAAAGGATCGATATTGGTAATTTCGGCACCACCGAGCAGCTCGGTTATAAGTTTTAGTGAGATCTATAGTAAAAAGTTTTAGTGCTGGTGGCATTTCGAGTGCTGATTGACTGGCGGGTGGGCAGAGTGTGTTCTTGAATACCCGGGGAGCTAATCTTAAAATTAGCCCACGCAGATTTCAAGTTTTAGTCCACCATTAATTGAATGTGAAAGTTATGTAATTATTTCGAAATCACGAACAATGTGTTGTTTAACAAAATATGCATTTGAAACTTTGCTCTGAAAAAAACTTTCACACATCCCGCCTCCTTTTCCCGTTCTCACTATTCAAAATCCTTGATTTAGACATATCATTGGCTTTCGTACAAACAATGAGCATATATCAAAAACTGATAATTATTATCATGCAACATTTCTTGCAAATCGGAGAAGGTCGAGGCAGTTTTTTTTAAACGCTATTAAATTTAGGCCTTTAGTTGCTAAGTTGACATTAATCTTCCATTAGAACCTGAGTAGCAAAGGTAAATAATGACTTCATTCGCAGAATTATCATTAAAATTACAACGTTGTTGACGTGGTACTCGCTGTGAAGGAAACCGAGAAATCCTCTGCGCTTCCACGAGAAATCACTGGGATGTTGGATGTGGGGAAAGGTTGCACACGCACACGCAGGGATCGTTTTTTGGTAGAGCGATTATAATACACAAACACACACACGCACTCATCCAATTTCTATTTTTTTTAGATCAGGACCCACACTGTGGTAAGTGATGCGCTCGGTGTTAAAGAAGAATTTGTTTTCATTAAAATCTAGTGGGTATAGAATAAGGCAAAGTGAAAAATTGCAAGGAAGGGGACGGGCCTGGGATTGAACTCCCGACCTTCTGCTCAGTAAGCAGAAACGGTAACCACTGAGCTACCGAGCCTCGTTCAATGACTGCTCACGAGTTACCAATAAAAAAGTTCTCAAGTCATAATTCGCGATCTTTTTTTTTTTTCTTTCTTTAACGTCGGTCTCTGTTCTAGTGCCAATTAGTCGTGTGCGCCGTGATGGTTTTTGATACGCCATCAATGTAATATTTTTTATACTTTTAAATTTTGAAAGACGCGTTTATCGCCAACCATTGCACATAATAAAATACAAACAAGGTCAAAATTGTAAAAAACAATACCGTGGACTCCCGGTAAACATTTCTCAAACGACATTTAGCAGATTAATGTCAAAGCACATGATAGGGGAAATGGCTCTAATGTTGGCCTATGGATCTAAGATTGGGCCAATTGCTAAAAATCTGCTATTTATCAATTGTATCTAGATGAACGCGTCATTGGGACGGTACTAATGGATATTTTTGGTTGCTGTTGAAAATTTAGTCGATTTCTGAATTTTTGTATGGGCCCAAATTAAGGACACTTAGGCTGACATCACATACATTTCCCCTATGTGTTATTTGCTGAAGAAAATTGCCAAACAGCTTGTTTGAAGCTCAAAATCAATACTTTCTTAATTGTTTTAAAACTTTATTAATGAGATTTTTAGCTAGTTCATCTCGTACTTTCTTAATTAGATAAGATGCAAGAAATATCCGTACCCGACTATGCTACGTTTGTTGTTAAACCGTATCCAACCCGAATCCGAAAATGTATTTATTTGCATACTCGTACCCAACCGAACCCGTTACGGGTCGGGTTTCGGGTAAAAATACCCTTACCTGATCATCTCTTCTGAATAAGCTATTTAATTCGGGATGATTTTAGTTACTGAAAAAACCACCTTAGGAAATACTTCCGATACTATTCCGAAATGTTTTGATGATGTTTTCGGCAGACCCATTGTGGTGAGAAAGCAGTCGCTTACCACTATACCACCGGCGCCGGCTTGTTCGCGATCTATTTCATCACATATTGGGAACGAAAAGTTGTGCAAGGAAGCTAAAGCAAAAACTATATTTTAACATCCGTTCCTCTCAATCTCAAACAAGAAAGTTCGCTCGGGAAATACCACTGGTACCATTCCCATCGATAATTTCCTTAGTGACATCTCGCTTGCGATAATGAACTTTTGGCAATATTTCTAACACTGCTAGACAGCCGTTTTAACGATTTTGTTTTTCAATTGAAGTAACTTTAAATAAACGCGAACACCTTCCTTCATATTGAACTACATACGAACAGGTTCCTGGATAGCCACAATTTACAAATATTCGCAAGTCTTAAAGTTTTGATAACTAATTAATTCCGGCTCTTCAAAGCTCAGGAATAATATTTTCACGATTTACAGAATAAAACATTTATTGAGGAAATTGTGAAATAATTCAAGATCTCAGATGTAAAGAAATTTCCATCATCCCAAACACAGAAAAAAACATGATTCAAGGTTTGATGACTTAAAGATTCTTGAACTGGAAATTTATGATCCCGGTTTAAAAAATTCTCAAATAAATAAAAAAAATCTTATATTGGATGCAGAAAAAATATAATCAAGAACCTCATCTTTTCAAGAATTTAGGTCATGAAAGATTTCAAGATTTCCAGAAGACACAAAACTTACAAAAATATTCAACATGTCAGGTTCTCCAATTTTACTACCCTTTTTTCAAAGCATCTGAAACCACGAGTGTTTTACGAAATTCTACTACTATGGAACGAAGATCATTCTAAAACAATAGCTCGTGAGAAAAAGAATGGTAAATTTTGCGATTCAGCGAAATGACGCTTCACCAAGAATAATAAATTCCACATCAAATCCCAGTGCAGGCTTTGGCACTCTGTGGTAGAAAGTCTGTATATATATATGGGCATTGACGGCGGTGGACTTCCGGCGGACTGACTAGACTGTCATTTTAAACAGTCTCCAGAGAAAGAGACTGTCCACCAAATGGACAGTTAGATAGGGAACCTAAACGGTATCAAACAGGGACTACCCAGAGGGATCCCTAATAAGAGCGTAGAGGCTATAAGTACTTGTACTGAATAGACTTCAGAACACAACTGCTTTATTAATCAATTTCGTTGGCTTTAAATAGGTGTCCCTATGTTGCGCTACATTGTGCCTTGCACGGGTTCTAATGGGGAGACTTCTGGAGTGACTTATGCTGAAGTCAGCGTGACAAAATAATCAATACTTCACGTATAGAACTTTGTACTCAGCGATCGATTGAACTGCAGTGCACTTGTCGTGGCGTGGTGCCTCGATACAGCGTATCGGTCACGTAAGCATAAAATTATATGCGCACCGTATTTAATTTAACAAAGAATGGGCACATCTTTTATTTCGTGCACCACAACTCATCTGAAAAAAACACATATCATGAATGTACAACTGAGATTGTTTGCAAACAACAGCTAATCAAATATGAATTATACCTGTCGCACATTATGCCTAGCGTCCATTATGATAACCATACATTATGCCTATCGTACGTGCCATTATGCCTATCATAAGTGCTACGTCATTTATGGATGTTCCCTTAAATTACTCTAATACTGTTTATGTCATCCGTGACTTGAACGCGTGACATTCAGCGTATGGATGCCAATCCATCCTCCCACCCACAGGAGTTATTATCTTTGAAAATGTGCGAAAGAATGATCGTTTACGTTTGCGACCCTTATGAAATGTGGACCCTACACGATTGCTTTTATTGACAATAATCGTATTGTCAATACATTCAATATTGACGTCAATTTATCGATATTGACAATATTTCTGTATTCACATCATCAATATAAATGTCAATGATTCCCCTTCGCGGCAATATATTGATACGTGTGGGGTTTGCTAAAGATCAGTGATTCGCTCAAAACGATGTGTTTTCCAGTAATAACGCTCACCTCTTATTATATTCTAGGCTCATACTCATTCGATACAAAAGAATGTACTGTTTCGCTGATTCAAGAGATTGCATTAGTGAATTGTCGATGAATGTAAATCAAAAAGAGGAAGGCGAATATGTGCGGAATCAGCAAGTGTACAGTTCATCCCCAGTTAAAATAATTGACAAAGAAGATAGCTCAGAGATGTACGAAATATCACCTTATGCCACATTTAACGATAACAATGAACGAGTTGTGAAAAGGAGTCGCGATAGAACTCCATCGTCAATGGATTATTCTCTACAATTTCGTACATTTGGGCATCCTGAAAATGATCTCAATGCCACTGCCTACCCGTTACTCGAATGTTCTGGTTTTGGAAATACCAAAGAAAAAACAAGTTGGCACAAGAAAACCCGTAGTGCTGGTAAGTACTCAGTAAAGATTACGCGTTGGATTTGATTGTCGACAAATTACAAAACTCAAAAATCGACTGGTTTACACAAACACTCCTACCTCACAACAAATAAGAATCGACTCTTTGACATTACTCTAAATACTAAATATTACCCCGAATCGCATTAGACTCGCGCTCTTATCTAGCGTCCAAATCCATTTCCCCGAATAATCAAATACACCGAAATCCATTATCCCATTACCAAACATAACATATTTTCCAGAATGTAACTCAGTAGGATTATTTATTATATTATTTATACCCTCCCCATGGACATGGAGGTTAACGGTACTGAAGCAAAGGGTTATGTTTAATTTCTTTATATTTGCAACGATGATAATTTCCTATAGTGACACATATCACCTTCTTAATGCTTCAGTATGCCTCAAACGATTAATTCTTCGTTGTTAATAGAACTTCCTTGATGAAATCGGCTGCTTCATGCAGACTGAGCAATTCTGACTATAATATCAGAATTGTTCTGTATACAAAGGAACTGGAAAACTTCTCACCAATAGAGTAATGATCTTTTAGTAAATTTTGCATATCATTTTATGAAAATTTTATTTTATTTTAGCGTATTATTTTTGTTACAGTCAATTTGCATACGGTACAAAAGATTTAATATTACTTACTCGTTTTTGCGTAAAATAATCAATAATACCTTTGAAAGTTTTTTCAAGTTTTTGTGATCTGATAGATTTTCCAGTTTGGTTAGAAGTTTCGAAGCTCCATAGGCCTAATAGAAAGATAGGCAGAAAAAGTGTATCATGAAGAATTGTTGAATGCAGGGTTGCTTCCACTCACTTGCTATAGATGAGTGATTTACGGAGTTTTGAATTCGTGAGATGTTGTAATGGGGATTTGTATTTGTTGAGGGCAGGTGTTTGACGCATAGAGCCGTCAATTTCACTTTCAGAGTGTCGCAGTCGGCGGTTTTTATGATTCATGGGCGCTCGCGATTCGTAGAATCGTTGATTGTGGCTGCAAGTGGATTTGACGGGGTTTGTGTGTCGGACGCTTGCCTTTTGGCCTCTTCTTGCAGCTTTGCTATGAAAGTTGTTACAGCAGTCTCGAGATACAAATATTATAAGCCGTAAATTACCTTAAAAACATAAAATTAACTTGAAGCACCTCTAAATCATCACCGAATTTGCTGAAAATTTGCACAGAAGTTCAAATTAACATAACGAACAGTAATCACGGTTGACCCGGTGCATCCCGAACATTTCTGTTAAAATGAACAGGTCTAATGCATAACCCCTGTTATGCAAACAGATTTTGCGCTAATTCTACCACATAGTTTGATAAAAGAGGCTCTTATCTAGCGTCCAAAACTTCAAACACAACAGGGAAAGTAAAGAGACTGAATTTGGTAAAGAGGCATTCCTTTATTTTTAACGTCGGTCTCTGTTCCGCAATCTAGTGCCAATCACCGACGGACATCGATTGCCAGTCCTGCGTAGGATATCGCACCCATTCAACACACATGGGCCGGGACCAACGGCTTTACTTCCCTTCCGAAGGAAGACGTGACCAGAGATTTTTATGCCTCAGAAAAATCCCACCGACCTCGGCTGGGATTGAACCCAGACCCATTGGGGTGTGAGAAAGCAGTCACGCTTACCACTACACCACCGGCGCCGGCAACATTTGGTAAAGAGGCGACATCTTATCCATTTGACAGGTCTTCTGCTCGATTGGAATAACTTTTCCTATGACTTTGTCAGATAGTCCATTGTTCCAATTTTGACATGTCGTCTCTATAAATTCAGGCTCTTTAAGGGAAAGGTTTTGCAGCTGAGTTATTGACGAAAGAGAAAGTCGATGAAGAGAATCGATCAATGCAGATAGGACCTTTTGAAATGTTTATCTAGAAATAGCTTTTGCCAATACATAACAAAAACTGCTCGTGTTTTAAGGAAAAGGTCAACTTCAAGAGAGAGGAACGACTATTGAACATTTAATTTAAATTGTATAACATTAAGAAGGTAGCATGCAACTTACCTCTTCCTTCAGAGACTGCCTACTCTGTCGATTGAGAGTTACGTTGGACCCACGCCGTCGCTCGTTTTTCTCAGCGTCTTCGTAGGCGCCGGGTTACTAGCGGCTTCGTTCTTCACTCCTTCGGCTACCACACAACCGACGGACACACGCGAACAATGCAGTCGAGAGCGCACTATGCAACGGCGGGGATTGGGGTTCAGCTTGGCGGCAATTAACACGCACGCCACGTGCAGGTTTCGGGACACTTCGCCAGAACACCAGAATTGCGCACTACTTGGACAGGGCTACTCTTCTTCTGACCAGTCTTAACAGCCTGTTTCACTCGCCACACTTGGTGTGTATGTTTTCGATACTATTCTTCAACACTCGACTCTAGAATTCCGCGCGTCCGTACTATTCAAAGATTTTCCTCTGTGTGTGTGATTTACATGTATAACTTATCAAGTGACACAGATGCGTCTTTTCAACTTTACTTTTTTTGAATTTCAATTATT